TTTTGTTTACTTCCATTGAAGCTGAAGGCGATGAGCATCTAGAAGAATTAGGGTCATAATGGGTGTGTGTCTGTGTCTGTCTGTTATAGATAACTGCTAGGGCATTACCATTTTCTAGTTGTCAGTCTCATTAAGGGAAGGTAGTATTTTCTTAGTGAGGTGCTGCAAATCCCAAAGCACAGGCATACTAGTGTTCGTAGAACAGTCAACATCCCGATGAATTCCTGGAATGGTGTCACTGTGTACTTAACCAGTGTGTATACCATATTAAGCTGAACTTACACAATAGGATAGTCTCCTACTCACACATTTTTACATATGTATGTGACTATCCCATGAAAAACTAAATGTTGATAAAATTATCTCAACACAACTGGGGGGACTAGCAGACACTCACTGGTACAGTACTTGAGGAATTCCATGTAGGCCTGCTAAAACATTGGGCTCCTCAGAATTGGCCTTAAGACTCCACAACAAAAGCTATGAAAAGCTGTGACCCTGAGCTTCCTTCCCTCATTTAGAACACTGGCTCTCAATCTATTCAGAGAAATGCATCCCTTTGTCTTGCATACCCCAAATTTCACCTCACTTAAAAACTACTTGCTTACAAAATCAGACATAACAATACAAAAGGGACACAGCACGCTGTTATTGAAAATTGCTTCCTTTCTCGTTTTGTCTGCCTGAAATTTTAGTTTGTACTGACTTTGCTGGTGCTTTTTATGTAGCCTGTTGTAAAAATAGGCAAATATCTAGAAGAGTTGATGTACCCCCTGGAAGACCTCTGAGTCCCTCCTTGATATACACATGCCCCTGGTTGAGAACCACTGGTTTAGGGGAGCTAGAAACATAAAGGAGAGTCTTATATTTCATTTTAAGACATATTTGTGCCTTTTTATGAAGGTAGTCTTAGAAGTACAAACTGATGTAACCCAACATGCACCAATTGTCAGACTAAAAGGGTCTGGCTTCTGCAGCTGGAAGCTAGGTGGATCCACAGAAAAATTTCTTTTCCTTATATCCCCACCTTTTTAAGTCTGGGTGCTTATGGCATAATTTTGAAAATCCTCTCCAGAATCATGACCTCAGCCTTGTACATTGTGATGTAGTTCATGGTGAACAGGAGTCAGTTACATTTGGGGAAATGGACAAGGAGGTTTGCCAGGCCTGTCTAAAAAGTTTGAAATTGACTCTATGATCCATCTTGTTAGCATCCTGTGATATGGTATTTCATGTTCTTTGGGGTACTCTGTAGTAACGCACTTGTACACCCTCAAAGTGAAAGATACAAATTTGATATTTTAGCAACTTTCCACCCTATTGCTTACCTCCTGTAATTGCTCAAATTGCTTAGTTATTACACTGCTGTTTTCACAAAATGCCCTTTATTAAAAGTGCAGAATGTTATTGCTCTGGGCTGCTCTACCAACAAGGAAGCAGCATAACGTGTGGTCATGATTTAAAATTAACTCAACAAAGATTTAAACTAGATGTTTGTTTGGAAAGCTTCCCTCTCCATCTTCCAGGGAGCTGGTAAAATATGGAATTATTGGTCATGTGTCCTTATGGAAAAATTCTGCAATTTAGTATGCTTTCTAAATAACTATAAATCTAACCCTTAGCTTCTGTAGCTGGGATAACATTCTCTATTACATTTTATAGGTTGTTTACAGTAATTTATGGAATCAGTTGTAAAGGGTTTTTTTTTCTGTAAGAGTAAGAATAATGATTTGCACTTGTATTTCACCCATCTTCCCAACCCTATTGCACACATTAACAAATTAATTCTAAAGACATTCCCCGGAAGGGAGCAATTTTAATCTTGATTTCACAGAAAGCTGAAGCACAGAGCTTTGCCGGGCTCCGGGCTGCAGAGAGGACCTTAGATGAAAGTGTTGATGAAAATGGGAAGTTTGAGGCTCCTGTGCTGTGCTCAGAACATTAGACTCAAACAGTCAGACCCTGTCTGATAAAATGGAGGTGGGGGGAGGGAGGAGGTATCTAGTCTCATGATAAACACAAAACTGAAACAAAACTGCCAGCACAACATAACTAACCTGTCTGATAAAATGTGGGGGAGGGGAAGAGGTATCTAGTCCCATGATAAACACACAAATGAAACAAAACTGCCAGCACAACATAACCAATGTTACCAGATCAATTCACCGTCCAGGGCAGCCCACTGCATGTCCTGGAGGTCAAAAGTCCCAGGCTCTTCCGCACTGTAGAGGAAATCTGTTCAAGAACTGAGGGCCCCTCACAGATGAGTCCCCCTTCTCTCTGCAAATAAGAAAGTTCCAGTTCAGGTGCCTCCTCTGCTTGCAATGTGGCATGAGGGGAAGAGTGATCCTCTCAAGGCCCCATGCACTGCAGAGCTATTCGACACAAAACCAATGCCAGAAACCAATACCCAGCCAGTGCACATCATAAGGTCCAGGTGTCATGTGCAGCCACTAAGAAACATCACCTAATAAGTACACTGCCTCATTTGGCATCAGTTTAGGTGGATCTAAAGCGTGGCTACATGTGGAGCTTATTGCAGCCATCCAATCTTGCTATGAGAAGAACATGGAGCATGGAGGCAAGGTCCAAATTTGAGAGAAGTAGTTGCAATCTCCTAGCTAGGTAGACAGCAAAAAGTGTTCCTAGTGTGATATGAGCATCCAGCAGCATTAGCTAGGTACAGGCAGCAAAAAGTGTTCCTAGTGTGATATGAGCATTGGACAAAAGCTACTGGATGCAAGGACAGGAAAATATACTCAGGCAATATGTTTGTTGGCCAGCAGCAGCTGGACAAAAGCTACTAGATGCAAGGACAGGAAAATATACTCAGGCAATATGTTTGTTGGCAGCATAGTCTGCACTATAAGGTGTGGGCATGGAAGAGAGAGATCGCTGCTTCTCCTCATCCATAAATTCTGTTCATTTTGTCTTCTCTTACTATAGTCTGACTAATATTTTAATAAAACTCCCACATCTTCCCTGCCCAGCCACAGTGCAGTGTGATCCATGACTAAAGCAATAAAACCATTATAAAACACAAAGATACCTATGGACTCTTAAAAACCACCCTGGAAGTTGAACCCTCTTTCTCATGTAACAGAGCACTGTCATGTGTCTAGGCATGGGGCTAGGATGAAGCATGACTATTCCTATTGACATTAATAGGACTACTCTGAGGCTTAATGAGACATGCTTAAATACCTTGCCAAGTCAGGGCTTAGTACAGGGTAAAAGGAAAGTCGTGTGCATGAGGTCCGACAATGGTTACAAAGAAATTAGCAGAAGAAAAGGTTTCTGGCCTTGCTGAGAATAAGGAGAGATGGAGGATAATGGATGTTGAGAGGTAGCGTATTCTACTCCAGAGGGACTACTGCAGTGATGGTGTGATTATCTGCTTTCCTCCAAAAAGTGCAGTGGCTGTCTCCAAAATGCAGGTGGTTTCAGAGAACAGATATCCACCAAGAGAGAACTTGAGGAGAGGATCCAAAATACAGCCAAGCCCTAGCATATTGGAAAGCTTTACAAGCAAACTGTCCTAACTCATAATCAGTGTGCCCCAGAGAGCAAACATTCTGCTGCATGAATAGAGAATGGCTGGAAGCCCTACTGTGAGGGAGTTACAATAACCAAACCCCATGATACTGAGAGTGTCTATTGTCCATACAAGGTTGCTGGAGAATAAACAAAGAGGCAGGGGGAACATATTGTGCCAGTTAGGAGGAGCAGGGGGCGGGAAATCTCTGCATCTCTTCCAGCTCACAATTTTCCATGGAAAGGACATAGCTCAGGGCTAGATTCCTAGCCTGGCTTGTTCTCCCCAGATAAGCCCCTTCAATAAACAGAGACACTGCCTCTTATCAATAGCCCCCTTCCTATTAATGAAAAAGTATGTTGGAGATACTTAGATTGGCCCTCAATAGGGTTTGTGGCATTGCCTCCCGCAGTTAGTCCCTGATGCTGGCATGTGCTAAGCACTTCCGGTGCGCTGGTTAAGCCCTTTCAATACCTGTTGCCATCAAAAGACAGGACTATGCAGCACTTTAAAGACTAATAAGATGGTTTATTAGTTGATGAGCTTTCGTGGGCCAGACCCACTTCCTCAGAGAGTATTAAAGGCAATCACTATGCACATAGGATCAAGCCATTATTGATCTGGCACCCTAAGTGGGCATGGTGAGATTTGGAGACACTCTGCAGTATTCAGGGCCAGCTTCAGGATTTGTCCAACCTCCCAACCCAAATCTACAGTCCACAGTGTTTGCATCTTCACATTTCAGCAATGCACCGTGAGGCTCTCAGGAACTGGTGCAACATTAAAATACAAGCACACCTTGTTGTACTGCTGGGAATAACTTCACACATTTTGGTTCTGTAAAGTAGGCTTGTAGAACATGGGAGGGCAGATTAAGAGTGATAACCACGATGGGATTGTTCCTAAGGACTCATGCAACCTTATACTGCTGAAGCCAGCCCTAGCAAATGTAGAATTAGGATTTCATGAAACTAAAAACAAGAACAAAAAAATTCCCAAGCTGACCCTGATTCTTCTCTGCCATGCACCATATGCCCATCATTTACACTTGAGCAGCGGTTGTAATGTGCTATCAAATCAGAACACTGGAAATGATAACTCAGGGTGCAAGGCAATGAAGAATCAAGCCATGAGTATTTATGCCTCAGCTTAGAATGGCATCAGAGCTTAAAAATCTGTAATTAGCAAGAGATACAGTACAATAACCAAACTGGTCTCTTGACAGTATCACATTTTATAGTTTGGATTCATGGATCCTGTTAGAGGCAATGCATCTTTTATCATGTCTCCTTTATGATTTCTCCGCTCTGGGCAGTCACAAGAAAATTTGAAACATCAGGAAAAAAATTAAGATTCAGTGGCTATAAAAATAGCAAGAAAACAGCATGGCCTAAGCTCTGAAAAAAGAGTTATAAAAAGGGGAGAACATTGTTAGAATGCAAAATATGGCATAATTTCAGCTCACCGCATAACTGTTGAGTGTTATCAAAGTGGACTGACTGTGATGTAAAAGGAAACAAAGTTTTAACTGAAGAAATGCAGACTCAGAAGAAAAACTTCAGACCAAATGCTGGTGCAATCCTCCCAGGAATCCCTGCAGAAATTCAGAAAAACTTTACATGTTTCATATCATTTGTTTCTTTTTGCATCTGAAAAAACACACTTGCACCTTATTAATGGAAATCAATTAGAAACAGTCTGGGAATCAAATAGAAGCCAAATGAAATGCAGAGTTGACTAGAGGCTCTGAAGGAAATTTGCTTTGTGTTAACCAGGCTATTAGAGAAAACAAAATCTGAAAGTGCTGAGAGCTTCAAAGACATGTCATGGCCCCAGTCCAAATTCCCAGCAACACACTGGGCTGAGATAGATTCACTGGGCTGTCATTTAACCCTTTCATTTCCTAAAGGAGGTCATGAGAATTAAATATCGTGTATACAGTATATAGAAATACATCATTTTTCATTCCTTTGAAATTAATAAATTGGGGCTAGATCAAATTTTTCATTTTTCACTTAAAAGCTACTTAGTATAACTGAGAGCTACATTGGCTGAAAGATTGAGCAAAGAAGAGTGTAAACAAGAGAAATTGCAGGGACTGGATTTGTAGTTTCTCTGCAGGAGCCTTTGTTGTTAACCACACTACAGTACAATGTTACCCTAATGTCTGGCATTTGATATAGAAGGGAAGCTATGGAAATCCAGGAGTACTCACCATTGATTCTCTGAGCAGAGTTCACTAAATCAAGAACTGTGCCCCCCTCCCCACTCCATGGAGAGTGGGTCACAAGAGACAGAAAGAACGTCACAATGATCCCTTTCTGTAGCAAGTGGAGGAGGTGTCATTGGCACCCAGTCCCCATCCTTTCAGCCAGTTGGGTGCTGGCTTTTTGAGGCCAACAGTGCCATATTCTCTTCTGATGTCAGTCCCATCAATGTCAATAGCAGAGAGCTTGGCCAGAAGTCCATTTTGTTAGCCTGGGCTGCGTTCCTAATGTCTTTTCATGACCTGGAGCGGGAAAGAGGGCAGCCACAGGCTCCCGGTGGGAATGAAAGGCATTTCCAGCATAGAGAGGGAAGGATTTGGGGAGGTTGGAAGCAGCAGCGCAGCACAGACTAAAAGAAAAAGTGAAGCATGAAGGCTGTACACAATGTTCCAAAGAAGTTTCTTTAACAGAGAGTGGGAGGCAAGCAGAGTGACAGCTAACAAATGTCTACCAAGTGATTCGTTAGTAAGTAGGACGCGCATTCTGAAGGGAAATGCAGGGCAAGGGACTGCTCAGCACACACAGCATCTCGAAAAAAGAGGTGAGAGAAATTGGACAATGTAAAATTAAATTGAAATATACTCAGAGAAACATAAGGGTTTGAATATGTGCACAGGGAATGAAGGATAGCTCAGTGGTTTGAGCATTGGCCTCCTAAACCCACAGGTTGTGAGCTCAATCCTTGAGGGAGCCATTTAGGGAGCTGGGGCAAATCTGTCAGTGATGGTGCTTGGGCAGGGCACTGGACTTGATGACCTTTCAAGGTCCCTTCCAGCTCTATGAGATAGGTATATCTCCATATGTTATATTAAATCCTAGCTCCATTGAAGTAAATGGTAAATTGGGGGCAATGGGAGTTTTCCCCTTGACTACATTGGGGCAAAGATTACAAGCATGGACACACACACGCGCTACTTACATTTGTATTCTGTAAGTGACCGTGTCTCTGCTTTAGGCACTGGCATACACACTACATGGGGGATTAAGTGCCTTCCATTTCCCATGAGAAAACAAAACCTTGGCAACAATGCCTCTAACTTAACCAAACAACCATTCCCTTAGGTGCATATATATGGATACTTCTCTTGGGACCTGCACAACTGAGTTCACACAGGCATCCAGAAACCTAGGCAGACTTCTACTGTCAGGATTGAGGCTCAGCGGTGGAGCAAGAAAAGGAAACTGTACACTGCTGTCACTTATATATACCTTGTCTAGAGATGAACAGAAGCCTTCATTCTCCATTGCTATCTCCCTATCCCATTTCATGAGCATCAAATCAACACTAGAAAGGTTTAAAAGGAAACAAGCTCTTTGTTAAGTATCAGAGGGGTAGCCGTGTTAGTCTGAATCTGCAAAAGCGACGAGGAGTCCTGTGGCACCTTATAGACTAACTGAAGTGTAGGAGCATAAGCTTTCGTGGGCAAAGACCCCCTTCGTCAGATGCATGTAGACTACAAGCTCTTTGTTATGTGTGTGTACAGTGCCTAGCACAATGAAGCCCCAAGCCCTGATTGGTTCTTCAGGCACCCCTGCAATATAACAATTCATAACTATACAAGTATTACAACCAAAACAGAAGCACACGTTTGGATAAAGATTTTAGTCTCACTCTAAGGCCCTAAAAAAGAAAAGACTGGGTTTCTTTTTTGAGGAGACTGCAATGAAACAAGGATGTGTTTGCTCCCATGAGCCTTTGGGTAGCTGTGAGAATTTCTGAGGCAGGACAATGTCATGAAGTGTATGCGCTAACGATGATTATGTAAAATTCTGGGTCTGAATCGGCATCTGTGCTTTGTTCAGAAGGGAAGCATGTGTGTATTATGTGTGTGTATATATGGGTAAGTAGTAGATGTTAGAGCTGGTTAACAGTTTTTGCATTATTTCTCCTTTGAAAAGTTACCTTAATTTTTTTTAATTTGCAATTTTTAGGGTTTTTTTTAACAAACCTGAAACCAAAAATGTTAGGATTCCAATTTTCCTTCCTTCTCCCCTCCTAACCTGCAACTTTTCTAATAAAAAAGGAGACTAGAGAAAAAAAGAAGTGGAGTAAAAGAAAATGGGGAAGAACAAAGTGAAAGTAATGGAGCAGAAAATAACTCCACCACCAAACAGAAGACCCAAACCATTTTAAAATGGAACATTTTTTATAATGTTTTTTCAGAGACTATGTCGAATAAATGAAAGCTCCTTCTTTTTCAGAACCTAAGGAACAAAATTATGATAGTTTTGTACAAAAGCATGATTATTTTCAACCATCTCTAATTATTGTATAACTAGCCAATTAGCCCGTCATAAGATGGGATTTAAGGTCTCTCTTCCACGTTGGTCTTCTCTCCTGAGCCTCCAGTCTCTCACTCCATGTCTCTTTCTCTCTCTCTTCTCCTCCTACTGCCTCCCCCTCTCTCTCACCTCTCCTCTGCCTTCTGCCTCTCTCTCCGTCTCTCTCTTTCTCTTCTCCCCCCTCCCCCGCGGTGGGAGGGAAAGGGAGGCCGTGACCGTCCAGACCCCGCCCCATGGGCATGTACATCACCGCCCTGCCCCCCTTCGCCTCCCACTGTAGCGCTCGGCTGACTTCTGCGCTGCTCAGCCTGGCTGCCGTGCGGGAGCCAACCTCTCACTCTGTGTTTCTCTTCTCCTCCTCCTGCTATGTCTCTGTCATGCTCTCTCTCAGGGTGTGTCTAAACTACATGGCTCCGTCGATGGAGCCATGTAGATTAGGTTGATCGACAGAGGGAAATGAAGCCGAGATTTAAATAATCGCGGCTGCATTTAAATTTAAATGGCTGCCGCGCTCTACTGACCAGCTGATGATCAGCTGTTTGTCGGCAGATCGGGGCAGTCTGGACGCACCGCGGTCGACAAGGAAGCCTTTGTCGACCGGCACAGGTATCCCTCGTATCCCTCACTGTCCTCTGCCTCCTCCGTTCTTCTCTCTGTCTCCTCTGCGTCCTCTGTGTCTGCTCCACTTTCCTCCTTTTGAATCTGGCGCCCTTTCCTGATGTCAGAGATGCACACTTGTCCAGGCCCCGCCCCCTGGCTGTTTCCTCTGGGCGGCGCTGTTGCCTCCCGCTGCGGTGCTCGGCTGACTTCTGCGCCGCTCAGCCAGGCCGCCGCGCAGGAGCAAGCAGTGCAAGCGGCCGTTTGGGCTCCGAGCTCCCCATGCAGTTCCCTTGCGCTGCTTGCTCCCACATGGTGGCCCGGCTGAGCGGTGCAGAAGTCAGCCGAGCACCACGGCAGGAGGAAACAGCGCTGCCCAGAGGGAACAGCCAGTGTTTCAGTGTTACAGAGTCACAGACATTGGGCTACTATATATATTACATTAGCACCCAGAAGTCTTGATCAGGGTTCTGTTGTGCTGGGCATGTACAAATATATATAAAAGATGGTCTCTGATCATGGAACTTGTAATCTAACTAATGCTAAGATCTGACAAGTGGATGAACAACAGAAGGAGAGAAGGTGAGGAAAAAAGAAGAAAAAAGAGACAGTAATAAGAACACAAGGCTGCATAGATTAGCTGTATACATAATTTATAGCCTTCTGTTTTGTTAAATTCACAAATAAGTGAACAGGAGATTTTAATGGATCTGTCAGAGGCCACCTGCTTAATCATGATCATTAGGCAGTCAACCAAGGGTAGCAAGGTGGGTTTTGAGATGTGATTAAAAGGACAGAGTAGTGTCCTTGCAGATGGATTCTGGCAGAATGTTCCATGCATACAGAACACCACAGGAGAAGATACAAAGTCATTATGAGAAGACATGCCAGCATGGAGGCTGCCACAGATGAAAGAAAAGCAGGAAGATGGCTGTTACAAAAATAAAAGCAGAGTTATTGTATAATGTCCCATTTTGACCCCCTCCATTTATAGGTTTTAATTTTTTTAATGAATCAAAACAAAATATTGAGTGCAGATCCAGTAACTTAATCATTGTGTTTTATCTTTTGGGGCCATTGTTCAGAGGAGTCTTTTGCTGCCCTTGATTTTATTTGTTGTTTGTATTAGTGTAGTATATAGGGAGCCCCAGTTGTGGGCTAGGACTCCACTGTGCTAGATGCTGTACAATCACAGAACCAAACAGTGGTCCCTACACCAGAATCTTTACTATTTATGCATCAAAGAAGACAGAACACATGGATTCTGACAGACTGGGGAGTACAAAGAAACAGTGAGACAATATGGTCAGTACATACGATGATAATGGCTGACCAGAAATCAATCTTTACTTATCTCTTTTTCAACATGGGAGACACTATGAGCTGGTTTGCAAGTGCAATTATTGATTTCGCTCATTGCCGGGGGGGAGGGGAGAACCTTGCTATACTACATTGCAGCTTTCCTTAGAGTAAAGATACCTATTGTGAAACTATGTTTAATTACTCCAGGGCTAGCCTCAAAAGATAATTTGCAGATGGCATCCCAATGTGTCTCAAATCACTTTTCTGTGGTAGTATTGGGCAAACACTTTGCTTATGCACACTTTTGAGGCTTTTATGAGTAGGATCCTATCAAATTCATGGCTATAAAAATAATGTGACAAACCATGAAATCTGGTCTCTCCCTGTGAAATCTGGTCTTTTGTGTACTTTCACCCTATACTATACAGATTTCAGGGGATAGACTAATGTTTCTCAAATTGGGTGTCATGAACCAAAAGGGAGTTGCAGGGGTGTGTGTGTGCAAAATTATTTTGGGGGAGTATTGTGTAATGAGTCTGGGACAGCAACATGGCCTCCCTCTGACCCGGAAGAGGAAGGGCCCTCTAAGACCCCTTGGTGGGTGGGTCCATCCTCACCTAGCCCCGCCCACAGAAAGCTAGAGGGAGGGACTAGGAGTATAAGAGCTGAGAGCTCAGTCAGCACCCAGAAGCTGAACAGGTCAGATGCTTGGCTCCAGCTTCTGCAGTGAAGGGTTCTGTCATGCTGGTCCTGATGGGAGGACTGGGTTGGGCTGCCAGAACCCCTGCTAGCCCCTGGCCCAGGCTGCTGAGCCCGCTGCCATGGCTTGAAGACACTCTGAGCTCTCCAGGACCCCCGCTGGACGCAAATGATTGGACCGGTCCACCTGCGCCCCTGCCTGAGCTGGAACCCATGGACACCTTGCCAGCCCCTCTGTCACCAGCGGACCCCGAGGAGCAGCTGATCAGTTTCAACAGTGGCTGAATCTGGACGCCAGTTCCGCCTTATACACTGTTAGCCTAGGCTGCACATCAACTTGGGCCTTATACCCTCTCACTTGGTCAACGGCTAGGCTGAGGCATGCCAAAAATAACTGTGGTATCACAACTGTATATAAACGTTGGCATTGTTGGGATGATCACAATATGTAGCACTTTTCCTCTTCAAAACTCTTCCTATTCCTGTCCGAAAATGGACAAGCAGAATAATCTTTGGGCCATACCCAGAAGCAATTAATGTCAGACTCCAGGAAAGCAATAGTCCTAGGCGACTGGGACAAATCCAAAGGCCCAGAAGCCCTGGACAAATGAAAGTGATATCTCACCAAGTGAGGGTGTCTGGTTTCCTGCTTATCTGACATGGACAACAAGATGTGGGGGGCAGGCTGTGTGACATAAAAAAACAGCAGCATTGAGTCGCCACAGAGTAGGGTGGCCTTACCTGAGTGGACAAAAGGGAACTGAGTTGTCCCAAGGCAGAGGGAGCTAGAAGGAGGGGTTTAATGGAAGGACAGAACTGAGTTGTCAGTCAGAAGAGAAGGAGGAGCCCAGTCGTGCACAGAGAAGAGGTTGAGGCCAGAAAGAAGTATATTGCTGATCCTCCCTTTCCCCTAGGCCAATGCCCTTTCCCCTCGGTCAATGCAGAACCTCTTCAAAACACTCTGCAAACAATATCGCATTGAGTACCACAGTAAACCTGCAAGGTACATACTTTGTATGTGTTTTCTGTTAGTTCTCTGATAAATTCAATCTTTGCCAGAGAGGCAAGCAGTTGTGTAATTTTACAGCCAACCTAGAGCAGGCTGCATAGCAAATGTTAGTGCCTTGCAAACTTAGCAGAAGCACCGGCTGCTACAAAACGTAGTATGATCTGGTTTTATGGGGGTGAATAAGGTTTGCAAGTTGCTGATTGTATGCAGATAGTTCAAAGCCAGTTATTTTTGGGAGAAAGGCAAATAATGGTTTAACCTTCAAGCCAAGTCAGAAGATTTTATAGTAAAATAAACTACAATTTGATTAGTTGCAGCTGATGTAAAATACTGTACAATTTGATTTGATTTTTGTGAGGAGATGTTACAGCTCTTTGCAATTTCTCCTGCTTCTGCCTGGACCAGTTTAATTTCAACTCAGTCCTTGATTTGCATGCATAAATTAAGTCCATCCTTCACAGACCTCTTGGAAAACGGTTCACAAAGAAGCCCTCCCAGCTATTCCTTATGCAGACTTGGTTTTGTTGCAGGGACTAATGCTGCACACGTTCCTAATGATTACACTTGATAAAAACATTTTCTTCCATCTGTGATTCTTTGCCTTTAAGATGAATGAGGCACATGGTACTGAAGTTCCTGCGGGCATGTCTACACTAGGAAATTATTTCAAAATAACTATTTTGAAATAGCGTGTCCACATTACAGGGAAAAACTTGAAATTAGTCTGAGGCAAGCTCCATTAATGTGGATGTGCTACCTCAAGTTAGAGCCCCAGGAAGCACTGGGGAGTAATTACTTTGAATGACTCTGAGAAGTACTTATTTTAAAATAGCAGCAGCAGCAGCAGAACATCTACACTACCGTTATTTCAAAATAACTATTTTGAAATAAACATTATTCCTCATGGAAAGCAGGAGTGATTATTTTGAAATAACAGGCTTAGTAGTGTGGACGCTTCACTTGTTGTTTCAAAATAAGGGGAGTAATTTTGAAATATCTCCCTAGAGTAGACCAGGGCTAAATTCTAATCTTGTGTACCATGAAGATTATGATAGCATTTAAGCAGTAGCTGATAGACATGAGCAATAACCCCTGTAAAAAGAAGAAATGCCTTCCACAAACAGTAACTCTGAAATTACTGGTAAATGGGAACCTCTCGGTACTGTGGATTCACAGGTGAACTTTATATCTGCTTTTTCTTGGATTCTAGACAGGAGCCTTAACCATATGTCAATAAATTTACCATGACAAGAAGACAAATTACAGCCCAGATTACAAATCCATCTAACATCTAGCAACAGTGATTAGCAATAGATGTGTTTATCTTCCCACAATATTGGTTATAAAATAATCAATGAAATGAATAACCAGCTTGATTACACCGCTATTTCTCATGTGACGCCTCAGCCCCCTCCTCTGAATAGAGCAGGAAAATACTTATTTTATTATTACCCAAATGAGTTATGCTTGTACCTTTTTCTTGTTCTCATCATCAGTGTCATAAGAAGAGATTCATTTTGTGCTATTTCTTGTTCTCTTTATAATCTTTGTCACTAGACTATAGCATAGGATCAGAATTTTTATGCCTCATGTATTCTCTGAAAGATTATGGTAGTAAACTCAATTGCTTTGACCTTCTCAGTGTTTTATAATTTAATTCATTGGCCATACCCATTCTCTCTCCCTTACCCACATCTCCTTCTGCCTGTTCATAGCCTAACTAGAAGACTTAGCCAGCATTGCTTGGGTCTGGCACAGGGATGGGGGTGGGGATAGAGGTAGGAGGGGAGTATGCAGGCCTCCTTCCGGTGCTGTCCAGGCCTGGCCTGAGTCTAGAGGTCCTGGCGTGGGGCCAGAGGGGGGGGCTGAGTAGAAGTAGAGGGGGCCCTGTCAGAGGTATGGGGAGCCCAGGCAGAGGCCAGGAATGTAGGGGGCCTAGTGAGCTATGCAGGCCTCCTGCTGCCATTCCCCAGGCCTGGCCCAGGGATGGGTAGGAACCATGCAGGCCTCCTGCCAGCACTCCCTGGGGCCAGACCAGGGGCTAGCGGGGTTCCCAGTACCATTCTGCCTCATCTTTCTGACAAAGCTTGCAAGGGGAAAACAGAATAGCAATGCACATGTCCCATCTCTTTCCTAGAACTATAACAAGGATACAAACTGGCACAAATACCATCTTTGCTTATGACAATGAATGAAATGGGCAATGGGACAAAGATAGCCTCTTCTCTGCATTTTCAAGATTATGAATTGCTGATTCTTTTGGACACGGTATATGTGTTTGGGTAACATGGATAACAGCTGGAGTAGTGACCTGTTAATTCCTTCAGTGCTGGTCTTCCCTTGCAGGTACCTCTCCTGTTGCCACCCTATTAATTACTCCTAGGAGAACCCAAACATAAAAAATCTGTGACAAAAATGTATAAATTCTGCAAATTTTATTTGTCAAAATAACACTTCATAATCATACCAGTTTTAATTATTTTGTCAATTTATTTAAAAAATACCTGTCAGGAAGTATATTTGCAACAATACAGACAGATAGACAGACAGACACAAACACACACACACACACACACACAGAGAGAGAGAGAGAGTAATAATTCCCCTGGGAGTAAAGCAGTAAAGAAACACCTCTGACAACCCAGTTCCCGTTTGCCCTCTTCCCTACCCAGACTGCAGGACAGAAGGCCAGATACCCATAATCTTTCTCCCAGAGCGCACTTGTGCTCCCCCAGTCAATATGTTTGAACCCCCCTCCGCCCAGAGCTCAACCATGGGCCCTCCAGACCAGATACTGATCCCTTCTACCAGAGTAGCTGTGCCCTCCTTACCTACAACCCCTCCTCAAGGATCCAGAGGGAGAAACAGCTTGATGCTTGCTCCCAGGGTTGCACTGAGTTTCCTGTGTGCCACACTCTCCTTCCCTCAGAACATGCTGAGAACTAGAGTTGCCAGGACCCCTAGATCCCTCTCCTTCCCCTTCCCCAGCTGTATCTTCTATGGACAAGCTGGGGTTTGCTCAGTCCCGTCTCCCCCTACTGGTTATTAACAGCACTGCAGCCCACTTCAGTAGGTGACAGTAAATACTGTTGTTTCAGAGGGGTAGACATGTTAGTCTGTAACTGCAAAAAACTTTAAAAAACAACAACAAATAGTCCTGCAGAACCTTAGAGACTAACAAAAAATATAAATGGCATCATGAACTTTCGTGGGCACAATCCACTTCTTTAGATGAATGGAGTTAAGGGGTCCAGGTTGCAAAATAAATAGCAGAGAAAGACGGGATGGCGAGGGGAAAAAGAGGGAAAAATAGTCAACTAGAGTGTTCATGCTAAATGAAGCTGATAGAGTGGGATCTAATTTAAGTACCCGATGCTTGGCTTTTTATGTCATTAGGATATGGAATGTAGCGAGTAATCCAGTGAAGGTCTTTGTTTAAACCTCTATGCAGGTATCAAACTTGTAAATGAAATTAAATTCTGCAGCTTCCCTTGCAAGCTCATTTTTTAAATTGGCTTGTAATAATAGGGTAACTTTGAGTTCCATTAATGAGTACCCGTGCAAGTTAAAATGTTCCAACAGATTTTTGTGCATTACTTTTTCAGATATCTGATTTGTGTCCATTAATCCTTTGTCGCAGAGACTGTCCAGTTTGGCCAATATGCACAGCAAAGGGGCATTTCTGGCACTTGATGGCATAGATCACATTGGTGGATGAGCAGTTATATGAACCTTTGATGTGGTGGTTTATGTGGTTAGGGCTTATGATGTAGCTAGTATATATGTGTGGACAGAGTTGGCACCAGAGTTGATTGCAGGGGTTCCTGGAGGAGTATGATGGAGGTGTGCTGTGTGGTTGCTGAAAAGAATTTGTTTAAGGTTAGGAGGTTGTCTGTAGGTGAGCAACCTGGACTCCTTAACTCCATTCATCTGAAGAAGTGGGTTATACCCACGAAAGCCATCTACATTTTTGTTAATCTCTAAGGGTACATCTAGACTACACCTCTCTGTTGACAGAAAGATGTAGATTAGGGACATCGAAATTGCTAATGAAGCGGGCATTTAAATATCCCACGCTTCATTAGCATAAACATGGCTGCCACTTTTTTTTCGAAACTGAGCTTTTTCAAAAAAAAAAAAAAAAAAACCCCTGGCAGTCTAGACACGGATCTTTCAAAAAATAAACCCTTTTTCGAAAGATCTTGTATTCATCAAAAAATGAGGTTTACAGGATCTTTCGAAAAAGGGTTTGTTTTTCAAAAGATCCACGTCTAGACTGCCATTTTTTTTTTCGAAAAAGCTCCGTTTAAAAAAAAGCAGTGGCCATGTTTATGCTAATGAAGCGTGGGATATTTAATTTTAATGTGCCTAATCTACATCTCTCTGTCGACAGAGAGGTGTAGTCTAGACCGAGCCTAAGGATCTGCAGGACTATTTGTTGTTTAATTTTTTTAGTAAATTCTGTGTGCATGTTAATTTATGCAAATTTCTGCATTGGTAAATACACCTGCCAGGAGTAATTATTGTTCCAAGGCAATGGAATGTTAGGGATAATAAGTGTGCTCTTCCAGCATGTCCTTTGCTCACCCAGCTGCATAAGTGGAATATACTCGCATGTATAGTACACTCATTGGTAGTCCATCATTTAAATGAATGGACAGCAATTATGTATTTTCACAGGCTCAATGAATGCAGGGAGCCCTTTTGATTTACTACAAAAATTTGGATGTGAGCACCGAAATTGAATTGGTTTAGCCAGCCCATAAAAACAAGAAACAATTAGGTGGTTTAGCCAGCCCATAAAAACAAAATAACAACAGAGTTTTTTCTCCTCACTTACACAATGAACATCTACTTTTCAAGAGACTTATCAAGAAATATGGACATTCTTTCCTGCATCAAGATCTGCTTGGCAAGAAAAGGAAGAAATCAGGGAGTGCATTATGGCTTTCTGATTTTCAAGCTATACTGCCATGACTTATGAGAGCTGACTATGGTCCCCTAAAAACCATATACTACCTGAAACTTAGTGCAATAGTATTCAACTTCACCCCATCATTCCCTTCTCATTGGGGGGGAGGGGAGGTGGTTGGCATAGGAACCAGCTGAGAATAGCTTCTGCCAAAGGAATTCTTAGCTTGGCAAATGTAGCCAGATTCTAGCTTCTTTGAACTATTCATGTGACTATTATAGACCAGAGAATCTTCCCTATAATATTAATTGGAAGATTGTGAAAGAGGGAGCACATGATATTGTGATGAAAGACAAACTTCTTAAACTGTCACCACAACCTACTTATCTAGAATTGTCCAAGAATTATAATGAATTCTACAAAACATCAATACACCAAAAACATGCAGATGAGAGACCATAAAATGGGTGTTGAGGTTTACAGGAAAACAAAGTTAACAATTTAACCTTAATTTTAACCAATTTACCTTTAATTAATTTAACCTAAGCTTAAAAAATAATTCCAAGGTGGGTCAAAGACAAATCAAATAGAGACCATCATAACAGCCCTTATACTGACCCCATAACTTTCACCATGAGGTTGGCCAAGTGGCTGTTTTAGAGGAACAAGTGAAACTAACAATTTGACTTATTTGAAAAATTCAGCAGCTGGAAAAATTGTTTTTATTTTTGTCCCCCACAAACTGGTGCCTGTATTCAGCCAATGGACTCTGAGGAAAGCAGATTAATGGCTTGATGGCTAGCTAATGCTCTGTATGGGTACGTCTACACTGCAGTGCTATTTTGGGATACTTCTGGTATCCTAAAATAGCTATTCTGCATCTTTGAAACAAACCTGTTACTTCAAAATATAACGGGCTCGCTATTCCAACGTCCCTGTAAACCTCATTCCACGAGGATTAAGGGACATTTCGGAATAGCAGTTTATTTCAAAATTAACTCAAAATAAGCTATGCAATGTGCATAGATGTACCCTATATGTGTAAGCTGAATGAACCTGCTGTGTTACTGAATGTCCTGGGATTCTACTGGAGTTCAACAAGATGTGCCAAGAATCATAGTAGCATAGCAGGTGAAGTGGGTGATTAGTAAAGGAAAAGTTAGATGAGTCTCACACGCTGGTGTGAGTAAAACAAAGGCATCATTTTCTCAGGCAGGGGGCAGTGGTATATAATTGCAGTATAAAATCCATGATAAAAATTATGTCTGAAAAGCTAAAAACACAAGAAAGAGCTGGTGATAATTTTTATAGTGAAATATTTTAATTTAAATCTGTAATATGTAAAATATGTCTGTAAACAAATGGAAAATGCAAGGAGTGGATCCTATTCCCTCCAAGAGTAAATGGTCAGTTGTGACATGAACAGTTTGGAGCAGAAGCCATTGTAAAATGACATGTAGCAAGCTAATCATTGCCATAAAGTTATGAGTGAATGCACACTTATGGTTATTTACTAGTGATTGCCAGGGGAGATATTTAATGCCGAATCAACCTAATGAGGCAGGAGGAGCAAAAGTATGGTTTCATTAATATTGGATGCCAGTATAGCTGCACTTGTGCAGATACACCTGCCATAAACAATATAATTTAAAATGGTGCAGTATGATTTCAATCAGCACAATGTACTCCAGTTTGAAACTAAGGAGAGCTACTCTGTTGGGAATTGTGTCCAGCCTGCATCACCTGCAAACATAAATAGTCATACTTTGCTCCTGGGTATATGAGTGCTCATTGGCTCCTGGCCAGAAGGGGTGGAGCTAAGCCATAATAAGTAGACTGAAGGAGCTCAGTTGCAGGAAAGGCTGGAGTGGTGACACAAGTCTCTATTCTGGTGAAGAAAAGCCCAGGATAATAGGCAGTTATTGGGGGGCAAAACCTGATAGACATAGTGTAGACTCTTCAAGGGAATCCCCAGGTAAGGTTTTGCAAGTAGAAGGAAAAGCCTTTAGTAATCTAGGGTGTCAGAATAATTAAATAGGTTTATTTTTATTCCTTTACAATACCCCAGAAATGGTTTGAACTTTGTATCTTGGCTAGAAGGCTGAGCCAGAGAAGACCTGGAGATTGTCTGTCCCTAGGGAGGTGCTCCAAGAATGAGTAGACCCCCTCCCCACCCAGTTCCCTTAGGGTTTATATTGAGGCAGCTATACCAGAAGCTGAAATTCTAGTGAAGATAATCCCTATGTCTTTTGTTCTGTTGATCAATGTTGTATCTGTTCTCACCTTAATATGGCAGGTTTTAAAGACTTACCAATGTAGCGGTACTAATAAGGGTAAACTCCCTCCATGCAGCTAATACAATGGAGTTGGCTGGAAAGTTGTAATAAAGTGTGAGGTGTCATACAGGATAACAAGTGGTCTGGCACGATGTTGTGGCAAAAATGTCATTACTTTTAGAAATGGTCCTGAACTAAAATTCCAGGTGCAAATATCCCCATAATCTGGATCCACGCTAAATATATTGGCTCCAAGGCATGATCTTGGAGACATTTGAGCCTGTGAGCAACTTTAAAAATGGCTAGCTAAACTTTTACTGCAGCATATCAAAATGCAAATTTGGACACCCAAATAGCCCCTCCTTTTGCAAAAGAACCAACATGGGATCCTCTTTCTCCTCCCTACAGAGTACTCTGGAAAGCTGAGAAGGGTAGAATCTTGACATCCAGTGTCTCGCCTGGCTGTGGTTGTAAGTATTCTCATGTGTCAATTTACTCCTCTCTCTGTGGCAATACCTGACTTGCTGTGTGTTTTAAAAGATGTATATTGTACCTCTGCTGCCTTCTTTCCTCTGACAGCCAGGCAAGGGTGCCATTTCGGGCGGGGGCAGCAGCCGTGCGCTCCGGAATGCAACTTGCTTTTCATCCTGTTCCACGGACTGTCAGGGAGTGAGGGGAAAGTACTTACATTCTGACCATGCCTCTCACACCTGGCTGGTGAAAGGAGCTCACCAGCCAGGTGTGAGAAGCATGCATGGAATACAAGC